CAGCGAACTCAACAGTTGAGTGAGCGCTCGCTGTTATTGGTGTATTCTTTTAGATCATCCAATCAGCATTTTAGATCTGGAAGAATACATCAATAGCAATGAGCGCTCACTGAACTATTGAATCTGCTGAACGCAGCCATTTTTTTATCAGTGTACACCAGTTCAGAACTTACAGTGGAAAAAGAACAGACCTTATGCAATAAAGTAGAAAAAGAGAAAAGGTTACAACAGAGAGAAGAGATGAGATGGAATATCAATGCTTTGATTGGTTACATACCTCGCTCGCGCATGTGTAGTTCATTTTTATCCATGCTGACAGGTGCCGACAGAGAGTTGCGCTACTGTATATACTGTGACAATAGTCAGTTTCAAACATGACAGTAGTATCGTAGTATTGATGTCGCGATTGACGGTTATTTACATTTCGTTAGAATTGTTTGACAATTCGAGTGAAGATTACTCTTGTTTTTATTAAAACAAAAAAAAATATAAAAAATGGTTCCAGTAATTATAATATTTTATAGCACATTATTAAATTAATTAAAATATCAAACTTTAAGTTTTATAGTGTAGAATTATGTTTCTAACCTATTACATAAATTTACTTCTATATCGCTAATAATGTATTTCCCAATGTATTTTCTAGGTGTGCGATACTCTAAGGATCCTTCATTTGCCTCCTCAACTTTCTGATGACCGGCGCGATGTATTATTACAGAGATATGGTGCGACGAAGACCAAAACGATACGACCGTCCAGCAAGTACACCATCACTTTTGCCAAATTCCTGTCCCAACAATTAGCAGCAGAAGCACTGCTGCGTCTGCATCAGTTAAATGTCAGAGGACAATATTTATCGGTTGAATATGCTAAAAAATCTATACCCGCTGAACTTTCGGAGCAAGGCATCGAATATAAAATATCAGTGAATAGTTCATTCCTGCGGAAATTAAATAATTGGACGATGAGTTATGAATTTAGTCAACCGCCTCCACCAAATATAAGGTATAAATATATGATGCCGACAAAAAGTACAGTAGCAAGGATAGCTATACAATTATTAACGCAGCCAGCTTTTTATACACAGGTAAATTGCTAAATCTTTGTTACAAGATTCTATTTTTATACAACTTTAATTGGAATTATTGCAGCTGTATGTGTATTCATAGGTATTACACTTGATGAATAAGATGAATCTACCTCCTCCTTTTGAAGACTTAGAAATGGAATTTCCTATGCTTAGGGAAGTGTATGATATGGAAAAATACAAAGGTATTTGATAACAGAGGATACAGTCAACATAATGTTACAAATGCTTTAAATGAAAACATTTTTTGATTGTTCAATTAGTAAAATTCTTCTGATGGATCAATCAAATGCTACAAAGCATTTATAGCAAGACTGATCGTATGCAGAATAACGAATAATGATCAGAAAAAAATTAAATTAATTCTTTCTGTTTAGATATATTTCCTGAGCGAATGAATGAAGAGGAATCGGAGGAAGAGGAATCCGAGTTAGAATCAGATGAAGAAAGCAATACTCGACCTCTAGAAGTTATCCCTGTTAAAAGAAAAAGGCCGCAATCTACAAAACGTATAAAAATTCCAAAGTTTGTGAACCTTGCTAAACATATTGTGATACCTTCATCAACGCAAAAAGTGCTCAAGCCAGAAGATATGTTCGAATCTGTTCAACGCGGAGAAACTAAAAATCTCAAGATTGAATTAAAAGCTCTGGACAAATTGGAAACAACATTTGCTAATCGAGACAGTACTGTGACCATAGATGGTGGATTTGGTTTAATATTCCCAGCTAATAAAACTACCGAGAACGCAAAAGACAGTGAAGAGAATGCAGAAATGCCAAAAAATAAGTTTATAACTTCAGAGGAATTGACGACTAATAAGATCTCTGCTAATGATCAGAGATTGCTTCCTGTGTTCAAAAATTATCACCCGGGCAAACCTTCCAATCGTCTCTATGTTAAAAATCTTGTAAAACAGGTCGAAATGAAGGATCTACATTATATTTATCAAAGATATGTTATTGCTGGATTAAAAGATGCCGAAAATGAGTGAGTATTTCGCTAGTATTATTGTTGCTATTTACGGTTTTATGTTATCTTATAATATGTCTTGATTAACATCTGTATTCTAGATATGATGTACGTCTTATGCAAGAAGGCAGAATGAAAGGACAAGCGTTTATCACTTTACAAAATGCTGTACAGGCAAAAATGGCTCTCGAGGAAACAAATGGATATATATTAAAAGATAAACCTATGGTTGTGCAATTTGCCAAAACTAGTAAAAGTTAATACATACTATCTTTAATTTAATCTTAACTTATTTCATATCATGATTAAAATGTTAGTTTAAATATTTTGCTTAAAAAACAAATTATTGCAATAAATAATATAAATGTCCTTGCTTCAGACTTAAAGCAGTTCTACAGTTTTATTCAACAATTAACAATACCTAATTTGTATGTTTCATTTGAGTAAGCATCCAACGTCATCTAAAATGTAAACTTTGGTAACGACTTGTTTTTAAAGAGCAACAAATCTTGCGATTCTTTAAAAGTCTCCGGTGCAATTTATCTAAGCTAATAAAGCATTCAGCGCTTTCGTTACCTCAGCGAATATTTCATCGACTGTTCCTTCCGCATTAATCTGAAAGGAAATAATTAATTTGTAGAATACACGACGGTTGAAAATAAATTAAAAAAATACATTACATATCTGAACTCACTCTTACAACTTTGTCTTTGTAATGTTCGACAATCTCGCTGTTTTTCGCATTAAATATCTCGATTCTTTTTTTTATTGTCTCCTCATTATCATCTACCCTTTGAGACACAGCAGCGCGTCCAAGGAGTCTCTTCTTCAGAGTATCATTCGCTACATCGAAGAAGAGAATTAAGTCGACAGGGCAAACCTGCGCAGCAACATATTGGTAATTAAAGCAGAAAAGATATGTAGTAAAAAGAAAAGGGTGCTAGCCTTACATTTTCCTCGAAAAGAATTCCCTGATCCTTCTCACGAGGATAGCCATCGATGAGAAATCCAGTCTTCGTGGTTCCTTCCTCACGAGCTTTATTCATCTGTTCCTTTATGAGCTCCAGCACAATGTCCTAGCGAAACCACATGATCTTCACACTGAGAAAAACCGTGTTTGTCGCGTAAGACGCGCGATATATATTTCTCTTTCTATATTTCTCTTTTTTTTTTCATTCCTTCGGCACATGTGCAATTCGATTTTCAGTCTTATATTTTCAACAATCTTATATTTATATTTTTTATTAAAAAATTTATATTTATTTAAAAAGTAATATAAATGCAAGTTAATTAGTTCATGAATGGTGAAACCAATTAATGGAAATTTGAATATTACATACCGTTGGCACAAATAGTCCCTTGGACATTAGATCCTGAAGCGATGCACCTCTTTCGCTGCCACTAGCAACTTCTGCTCTCAGTAAATCACCACTGCTCAAGTGAAGAAATCCATACTTTTCAATCATACGGTCACATTGCGTTCCTTTGCCGCATCCCGGCCCACCAATTACCCAAATTGTTTTCATCTTTCCTGTATAACTTTCCTCTCTTCACGGCAAATGCTAGACTAAAAATGGTGATTGTTTAAATTTCCTTGAAAATCCAAAAGAGAAAGAATGGAGATATTTTCAATTAAAAAAATTGTAGACTCTCATTCAAATGTACTAATTTCAAATACTTTTTAACCCTTCATGGTCACACTTCTAAAAAGCCACACGATGGTTATTCTGGGTTAAAATGACCTGACCCATCTTTAAAGTGTTACCAAATCGGCAGTATTAGTTGCAATGATTTAAAAAAAATACGGTATATAGTTTTATCTTTTAAGAAAATGGAACAGTGGCATTTTTATGAAAAATTTAATTTTAACACTAAAAAAATCGTAAAATGTATTAGAATTTAGCGTGAAAGTTACATATACATCGCTAAATTCTAATACATATTTACGATTTCTTTTCTTTTAATGTTAAAATTAAATTTTTCACAAAAATTCAAGTCATTTTAACCCAGTGACCATGAAGGGTTAAATAATGAGTTTACAGATTTTTCAATTTTAAGGGACTTTCACATACATATAATATATACATAAATCCATCTTTTTATATTCGTCATTATACAGAGTGTTAAAAAAACCATTCAGCATTCGAATGATTTTATTGAACACTATATACATACTTTCCTTTCTTATACTCGTCGTTGTATGTTTTGTATTTGTATTTTACTTGTTTAATATTGTATTTGTTCACATTTATTTACATTTAAAGAAATTTTTTAATTTCTTGTTTGCATTGAAAATTCAAAAAATCTTTCGATACCCTAAACAATGTAAACCCCGAGTAAAATTTCAAACGCGTATCGATTTCTCGCACGGTTGTCCTCCACGAGACGCGCCTGCGCCCTCGGAAGAGCTCGTGACATTTCCGGTATCTCATCACCTTGAACTTTCTCCAAATGTCTCACGGAACCAAGTATAAAAGCGAAATATGAGAAATCGACGGTTCTCTCAATTTATTTGGTGTTATCAAATAAAACGTACACATTAAATTACGAACTTTCTGAAAGCTATTCTCATGAGCCTCTTTTCTAATTTAAATGGAAAGAGGTTGGAGAACAGGTTAAACTACAAAAACTGATTTCAAACACTTGCAAGGACCATTTTGGCCCAAACGATGATAGTTTTAGCAATATCGGTTGATTTCAAGTGCGATTTAACTCACTCCTCGTTTCCGTTTGATTCTGGTCGAGGAAGAGAAAATTAACTGGCAACGGCTTGAAGCTTCTCGCTTAACTCGTATAAACCCGTCCGTGTATCGATTGTCGGAGATGTAGAGTTCAACGCAGAAACGTATAAGCGCGATAGAAGAGCGCGGGAAGGACTGAAGAGCATTCGGCCCGATCAAATCGTTTCCCGGGATTACGTGATAATAGAGCTGCGTATTACACAATATCATAGAGGAGACAAACTTACACAAATATAGCGACGCTTAAAAATAAACCTGTGGCGAATGTATGGGGATCCCGTCTGTGTTACGAAAGCTATAACTTGCACTTCGGATCGCGTTTTACGTAACCGAAATATTAGAATGAACCCTCGTGTTGAGGCCGGATTACATAATGATTCCTAGAATCATGCAAATGAAAACTGTTAATTCACGTTAATTAATGCGATTCTAATAAGGAGTGTGAAAGTTAACTCATATACTTTTCGTGCAAGAGATGGTAAAATATGAGTTACGAAAGAAGTTGTTCGTTTAAATACCTCACTTCTCGGGTGCAACTAATTTTGGGTGTTGCATATCGATGCAAATAATACAATCTTTAGACCCACAATCTCCCACGTAGCGTAATAGATAGGAACGCTAGATAGGATCGTCCTTGAGAGGATAATTATCGGTCAAGTATCTTAGAGTATCTCAAGGATACGAACGCTTCCTGAAAACATCGCGATACAAATTGTAAATGGCGTTATCGGGGCGAGGCTGGGCGAGGTTCGGAAATTATATACTATAGGTTTGTCGCGTCGCAAGCTCCAACATACTCCAACATGCTCCTACTATAGCTCCTACTCACTCTATCAAGCGCGTTAGGCCGGAATCAGACTATACATTGAAGATTGAGGTTGAAGATTGAAAAATTCAAATTTGACCAATCGAAATGAAAGGAACTAAAATTTCTTTGTCCTTATTGGTCAAATTTCAATCTTCAATCTTCAACCTCAATCTTCAATGCGTTGTCTGATTCCGGCCTTAGAGTCAGTGAGCTCTATAACATATTGGAGCGCGTGCGCCTTCCCTATACTAAACTATAGAAAACCGCGATCCGACGGAAAAAAGGAAGGCAAACTTTGACTACGTTTACACCGTTCATTTAGGCCACGGCCTATAGATATCCTTGTTTATCCTGTAGGTTAAACAAAGACACCTATCGTATAGGTCGCGGACTAAGCGCAGGGTGTAAATGTAGATAATATTGGTATTTCTGACTCTTTTCTACTTGTGATAATAAAACAGCATTAGCCTAACTTTGCATTAGAGTGTCCTTATTTAGGAATTGAGACACCCCCACTCCTCGATGGAGCGCTCCCCAGTATGTTATAGAGTAAAGTGTGTCACTTGATCTCATATATGTAATACTGGCTACGTTTAGGCCGGAATCAGACTACGCATTAAAGATTGAGATTGAAGACTAAAATTTGACCAGTGAGGACAAAAGAATTTTAGCTCCTATTGTTTTGATTGGTCAAATTTCAATCTGTTAGTCTTCAATCTCAATATTCAATGCGTAGTCTGATTCCGGCCTTACACCGTGCGTTTAATCCGCGATCTATATGATAGATGTCTTTGTTTAACTTACAGGATAAACAAGGACATTTATTGTATAGGCCGCGGCCTAAATGTATGGTGTAAACGTAGCCACTCCTATGACCGCGGTCAGATTCACACTCACACGCTTAAAAATCATTTCATCCTTGTTGTTTGTCAAATGTTTAACGAAGACAAATGATGCTGATGAACGTTGTCAGCGTGAATTAGGCCGGAATCAGACTAGGCATTAAAGACTGAAATTGAAGATTGAAAGATTGAAATTTGATCAATCAAAACAATAGGAGCTAAAATTTCTTTGCCCTCATTGGTCAAATTTCAGTCTTCAATATTCGATCTCAATCTTTAATGCGTAGTCTGATTCCAGCCTTAGACCACGGCCTATATTGCTAACGCCAATTAAAAGCTGACGAAAACACCACGGTGCAGACGAATATCTCCCTCTCACATAAGGTTTGTTCGCGTCGCAAGTTCCAACATGCTCCTGCCATAGCTCCTACTCACTCTATCGAGCGCGTTGGAGTGAGTAAGAACGGTAGGAGCATATTGGAACATGTTGGAGCATGCGACGTGAACATACCTTTTACTCTGGATCTACAATAAGGTTTTAAGCCTTAAGCCATAACCCCAGATCTACAATAGAGTTTTAAGCTCTAAGCCATATGAAATGGACGAATCATAGTCGATTATTCTCCTCGAATTCAACTGTAACTGGTCAATTTCTTACGACTTAAGGCTTAAAACTTTATCGTAGATCCGGGCTAAGGAACAGGCGAATCACAATTGATTTTTCCCCTCGGATTCGACTGTAATTGGTCAGTTTCTTATGACTTAAGTCTTAAAATACCTATTGTAGATCCGGACTTATAGCTCTAGGGGTCGATTATGTATCTCGAAATGAGATGAAAATTACAAAAGTGAACAAATTCACTAGTTATTGACCAATTAAATTATGAGTATTCTAGTGAATTTGCTCACTTTTGTAATTTTCACATTTTTCGAGATACATAATCGACCCCCTAGTGACTTTATTGGGTACGTTCGGGAAGCTCGCTACTAGCGTTATCGAGCGCTACTACTGTTCGGAGAGCTCCCTACCAACGCTACGAACGCCATCTGTGACGTCATTGTCGGTAGCGTTTGACGTTATAAGGGCCATGGCACACAAAAAACTTAAGGCAGTAAGACGTAAGCAGTAAGGAAATCAACATGTTGGATTCGCTATTGCTTATGTTATGGCCTTACGGACTCTACTGTGATTGGTCAATTCGCTTACTGCTTATGTTTTATTGCTTAAGTTATTTTGTGTGCTATGGCCCTAACTCGCGCTACCAACGCTCTTGCCTCCGAGGTAGTGCATGGGTAGCGTTAGCGTTTGTGAGTTTCATGAACGCTAGTAGTAGTGAAGGTAGTGAATCGTTCCCGCCATTTTCATGTTGTCGAGGTTATTTTTCTTTGCATTTTGCAGTCCACTTTTTGACTTCTTCGCTTTTGTATTGAGCCTCATAGGAGATCAGGTGACGTTAAAATCTCATAAAAAGAAAAAAAGGTAAAATATAACTCATTCCTATAAAAAAAGAAATAAATATTAGTAAATCACCTAAAATGGGCTTGAAATTCTTTTTTTGTCAATTGTGGTAACAATCCTTCTACATAATTTTCGATTCTTGGGACATTCTTCTTGGATTTCTTACAATTAACTGCAAATCTTCATCATCGCTTTCAGACGATGAAGAATCTATTAATTCTCGCGCAGTATAAGTCCTATCACTGTTAAAATCCTTTTACGATTACAATTTTGTTCCATTTTGGCTTTAAAACTGTGAGGAGCAGTCGAGTTTGGGGAGGATATATATATACTTTAACACTGCTTGTGCAAAGAAAAAAAATACATATAAATAAGAGATTTTGTAACTGCAACATGATGTTTTATACATTAAAACATGTAGATATTAATAAATTACGCTATTTTTATCACGCAACTTTTTAAACATAATCTCAGATAACATAACCTTAAATTATGGCAAATAAGTAACATAAAAATTTCACTTTAAACTTAAATATTACATCTATTTTAATAATATATGCAAATAAGTAACATAAAAATTTTACTTTAAACTTAAATATTACATCTATTTTATACCGTACAGCAGTGCTCGGCACTAGATGCACATTTCGGGCTGATTCCGGCGATGTCGACCGCTCACGTGACGCTCTGGCTCAGGAGCGTCCCTATATCTTAAACGTGCTAGGGTCGTATCTTCCGTCATTGAAGAATCTTTCTTGCTAAATAATTTTTATTTTTTCAAAAAATCAAGTACTAAATTTTCTATTATTAATGTATTAATATGCTCTATATATAATAATATAATTGTAGCAATAATATATAATGTGTATAATATAATTAGAGTTCTTTACAATAGTTTTCCACATCACCCGTGGTACTATTGTTGACGCGTTTTTTTTAAAGTGGTTTCCCCAGTAGGCCTATTCCACTGAAAAAGATAATGAAATGGCTCGGCAGGAAGGCAAAATTTTGTATAATTTTCCAAAATGAAATTGATCAAAAATGATAAACGTTCTTCTTTAAGCGATGCATCATTATCCTCGTTGATGCGAATTACTTCTTCCAAAATCTCTGTGGATGTACCGTCTTTAGTGGAATCATGCAAACGACCCAGAAAATCGAATTAATATTTCTATGCAAATTGGTTGTATCAATTTCTTTTGATTCCTGTTTATTTTTATATGTATATTTCATTATACAAAATTTTGCCTTCCTGCCGAGCCATTTCATTATCTTTTTCAGTGAAATAGGCCTACTGGGGAAACCACTTTGAAAAAAACGCGTCAACAATAGTACCTCACGGGTGATGTGGAAAACTATTGTAAAGAACTCTAATTATATTATACACATTATATATTATTGCTACAATTATATTATTATATATAGAGCATATTAATACATTAATAATAGAAAATTTAGTACTTGATTTTTTGAAAAAATAAAAATTATTTAGCAAGAAAGATTCTTCAATGAGGGAAGATACGACCCTAGCACGTTTAAGATATAGGGACGCTCCTGAGCCAGAGCGTCACGTGAGCGGTCGACGGCTCGGCCGCTGAGACTCGAGTGGTAGTGGGGGTCGCTCGCCGGAATCAGCCCGAAATGTGCATCTAGTGTCGAGCACTGGACTATGAATACCAACCTAAAGCCGGAATCAGACTATGCATTGAAGATTGAGATTGAAGATTGAAAGATTGAAATTTGACCAATCAAAACAATAGAAGTTAAAATCCCTTTATCTTCTATGGTCAAATTTCAATTTTCACTCTTGAATTTCAATCTTTAATGCGTAGTCTGATTCCAGCCTAATGGCCGCAGCACAGACTCTTGCATAACGCATAATGCATAGTGCATAAGGGAATCGACCAATCGAAATTCTTCTTTTCCATGGAAGGAAAGGAAAGATTCTGATTAATTGATTCGCTTATGCACTATGCGTTATGCAAGAGTCTGTGCTGTAGCCATAAGTACCATCCGCACCAAATCACTTGATACGCTTGGTATAAACGTTGACGGATTATTTTGGTCTCATACTTCTGAATCACGAGTATCAAACCAAGCTGGTACGCGTATCAATTGGTATCAAAGAATCTCAGCGTGCTGTAAACGCTTGGTTCGTTTTGGATCATATATTAAAATTCACCACTGCTTTTAAGTTCAGGTTAAAGTTAGAATTAGAGGTTTTATCTTGAAAAGCAGTGAACTCTTAGGAAAATTTACTTAACAAAACTTAAAAAAAAACTTAAAATCTATTTTAGAGAAAACTTAAAAAATTTGATAAGTAAATTTGGACACTTCAAATTTTTCTTTAAAGTAACTTTAAAATTTACTTAAAGAAAGAACTGGATGTAACTAAAGTTAAAGGAACATAAAAATTATAAAACATAAGTTAACAATTATAAAATTTTTTTTAAGATAACAATTGTGAAAATATGAATTATGTTTAAATTTCAAAGCAAGCTTTTCTTACTTATAAGAAGGCTTGCCACATCAAAAAATTATTTCATAACAACACGAATGAAAAATCTCTTGTGTCTTTTATTCTATCCTGTATGAATCTTATTTACGAG